TTCGGAGTTCATTTATCTGTAAAATTACCACAATAGGCGAAATGTGATTACTCGTCACATAATTGCACAGTTATATTCACATTCTTTCCCCGTTCACAAATAAAGCATATGACCAACCAACTTAGGACAAGGTAGAATATTCCCTTCATGTTTCATCCCACTTTGGGCTTGATACCTTAACCCAGGAAGATTAAACTACAGTAATCATGGTGACATATATCACTACAGATTGAGTATTCTTAATTAACCTACAAGGAAATGGTAAGATAACGATTTATGGTGCATGCAGTCTATAGGCATCTGTGGAAATGGAATCATCAAGGACTGATCTAAGTAACTCAACGGTGAGAATCGAATGATAGTAGAATTTGTCATCACAAAAGTTTGGTGTTAATAACAAATTTGGGACTACTTAAATTTACATTGGATATTTCTTATATAACTTGCCTCCAAATGTTTTGTTCTCAAGTGTAAAAGAATCTGCCTCCAAATTCCCACCACAAGTATATTCTTGTCGTTTAGTAACTCGTCCATCCTTTTATGGGGATTTCCACTGCCTGTTTCATATATCTCTGGAAAAACAGAATGTGTGCCAGTGTACTTAGTCATCTTTTTAGACTTGTCGCCCTCGACCGTAATTTAGTGTTATCCAAATAAACTAAAATACTAATAAAAGGTGGAGTAATGCTAATTAAACAATTCAAATGTCGAAAACGCTCGAAGTAAAACTCAGATATGATGTGAATAATCCATCCAAAACTTTTGATACCAGAGACTTTTCCTGTTTTCGAAGATTTGCTACAAAAGCAGTGAAAACCATTATATTGTATCAGTGTAGACTGGATTTTCATTGCTTTCTCTTACGAATAAGAGTAGAATGCTTCATTCCAAGGTATCATTTATGATCCATTATGGGTTTCTCAGTATCTGGTTCAATATTTCATGTAATTTACTCAACAACAATATATGCAGTAAAATATATTACAAGGTATAGGTAACAAAAACTGTTCATAGCAAGATTTACAAAAAGCGTAAAATACTACCAAAAATGTTAATAAATAAAATAAGATGAGTGAAATAGGGTCATCATGAATAAATAATAAAAGAGGAGACAATTATTATGCTAATTACATAGCAAGTTATAAGTTTCACGCTTATCGCATAAAACGCGGTCCAAATAGAGTATCGTACTTATTTGTACGAGCATATAATCCTTTATAATGACCTCTCGTCATTATCAGCTAAGCATTTTGCACACTCCTTCTCATTGTCTATCATTAGAGTTCTCTGAAATTTTTAAATTATGGTATATAACATCCATGTAAGACTACTGTATTTTAACTGATATATAACTATGAAAATAAGATAAATATCACAATCGGTAACATGTTTACGTCAACACTGAACGTTTTGTATATTTCCTTTTCGTATATCTAACCTCAAGGAAATATGCCAACTGATACAAATATATTAAATTGGTTGTGTCTGCCTCAGTCAAACCGTCAGTGTCTAGTGAATATTATTCTAATATGGTGTTCAGCAAATTCCTTCCAAACAACACAACAGCATTTATGACGCAAATTTGGGAGATTCCAATTAAGTCCATATTACATTTCATTTTGTGAAATAATTTCTCTCTTTGAAATGTTTACTATGAAAAAGTCAGTTTCTGTTCGACGGATATTTATAGTATTACGGTCTCATATTCATCGTGTGAAAGTTCTCGTGAATGAACATTTCGTCTTGACTGGCCCAACATTTTGGTCCATTTAATCAGCGGTGAGATAAAAACTGAATTAAAAGCAGATCCTAATTGATGTCTGTTCTACAAGAGGGTGCTTTTATGACCCAAGTGGTATGGTGGATGACGCTTTGAAGTTTGAAACGATCGGTACTGATTGCGTGTCACAGTGGAGACAGTATCGCTCACATGTAATCCAGGTATATCCAGGTGATGAGTCCCACGTAGGAAAAAATATGCACCCTCAATTCACTAGCGAGTCACTATCCGTCAAATTAACTAGAAAGACGTTTACCATTTTGCTAATTCCTTTCCTATATCTCGTTTATTGTTCTTTCTTTTGTGTTCCACTTTATACTACTTACCATATGTAGTTAAGTAGTATGAATTATATCTGTTGTTTCTTAACCATGAATTTGTTTGCTACTGAAGTTTGACTTGCTTGATGTATTTATAATCCGTGTGATATTTAGTAATTGTTTTCTTATGGTCAAGCAATATCTGCTGTCAATTCCTATTAATGAAGCCGTCCCTGTTGAACATTGTTTATTCGTATCCCTTTATTCTGTGTCTTGCATTCGCTCGATGTTTAAATCTACACATCAGTTGCCTCTGACACAGCTCTGGTGTTTTCCTTACTGACACACAATGACTAGGATTTTGATAACGTTAAGCCACAGAAACGTCCTAATTTCTGGTTTGTACATTATATTTCATCATGTTATGTTTAATATAGTACCGTATTCTAGACAAATCCTCAGGTTTGGGATTTTTCGCGTAACTCTGCGTGTGGTTTAAATAATAGTTTGGATTATCGTTCTGCATTTCCTCAAAGAAACTCATAGTATTCAAATTAGGTTTCGTTTATATCTGTGTTATTATCAGTGCAGGTCACTCGAAGCATCTCGGGAGAACTCGAGATCGCTGAACAATATCTTCGATACAATCCTGAGAAAAAATTCACGCTTTTGATAATTTTCGTACATATATACATATATATGTATTTATATGGTGTCTACAGGATATATAATTCGCACGAAACGCTGGTACTACTGATAGGTAATGATAAAGAGCATTAAATATTCACTTTTTTAGGTAAAATTATACTGGTTGAGATTATTATTCCGGCAAAAGTCCGGCTTAATCCCTTCAGAACGATAAGTCAAAATATTTTAATTAGAATGTATAGCAGCATGACTCCACAACAATTCATGCGAAGTATTTGATAGTTTGTTAATGTAGGCCTTCTTTCAATCAAGAGGTAACTTTACTTTGTTAAACACCTTCTGAGAAGTGGTACAGGCATAATGGACATTAGGTTCACTTATCCATCTTTCACTAGCCTCACCTGTGTTGATCTCTTCCCGGATAGCTACTCGGTTATCCGGTAGACTTTTCGTATAAGTGCCTTTTTTCATTCTTGACATCCCTCTTCACTTGTTTATTCATTGCACTGTAAATTGAATTCAACCTCTGCTTTCGTGGATAGTCTTTCTACGGTGAGACAAAGAAGCTCGATATACTTCATCATATCATCTAAGTATTGTGCTTGAAATTATGCTAGCCGATCCTATTGTTATATGGGCATAGGCGTGCTTCATTGTAGTTCGAGTTTTTCTTGTCGTTAAAACCAGACACTAGACGATGGATCAGCCTCGAGGGACTAGTAGCAGAAGTCAATCTCAAGTGTGCTAATAATCTCATTCTTCCATGAAACATCATTTTTCTGACCAATACATAATTCATCACAGCGTAGGGTAACCTATGACAATGTGTATTCAAAGATTATTCAAGAGTATTGAAGATAGTTGTTAGACACATACTATTTACTTCCCTTCTTTTATATGTTGATTAACCTAAAAGCTGTGCCTGCAATGTTGTTTGACTTATGTAATGTAAAAAGAAACGTAGCCCGAAAACAACAACAGTAATAGTGTCAATGAGGTTACTCCAAAAAGCTCAATAGATTCATCGCTAAGTGTCAGTATATTCCCCTTTTCATAATGCATACAACGTTTCAATGATTTAATCCGTCAGAGATGTCACCATAGTTTGCTTTTATCATCTAATTAATTTCCTCTGCTTAAGAATTATTTATATGGGCTGAAATCAGATGAATTTATCCTTATGCACATGTCAACGAATGGTGTTTAGCTGAGGAATCAAAAGTGTCACCTTGCAATATTTCGATGAGTAGTCAATGAAAATGCCAACAAGCAACTTATTAGATCATTCTGTTTTATACTTCTATTGACCGCACATACTGTATTGATATAGTTCGCGATCAAAATTAGTGAAAAATAATAATATCTATATATCAAATCCTATCTACTATATTACTCTTACTGATATAAACATATTTCTGACCTTACCGTCCTTTGAATGAAAATCATTATGAACTTATTACAGAAGAGCCTGAAAATGACGTTACTGAAAACGCCAGTACGCACCCTTTGGAGTTCGAACCCAGGACCTTCCAGCTCAAAGGCCAGCGAACTTGTATTCCATTCAGCCACTGGGACCCGATTCAATGGCTCATGAATTCTAACTTCTACCAATTCGTGATTTAGCACGACCCCAACAAATGTCGTCGGTGGGACGTCCATCCTCACACGTGACATCTGGATGGACCTCACTGGTCACGACTTCTCACTGGAACTCCAAGAAACTCCATCCTGTATCAAGTCACTAGCGAGCATCAGATTAATTTTCTATAGTTGGTTTGTAAGGATTAGTTTTGTTTTTACGAGTTGATCATGGATTGATATCAGTTAGAGAACCATTGAAAACCAGGGAGTACTGGACAGCTGTTTCATCCTAGTTCGGGAATCATTGGCAGTACGCATCCACTGGGGTTCGAACCCAGAACTCGTAAAAACAAAACTAATCCTTACAAACCAACTATAGAAAAGTTACTGAAAACAATTAATAACTCGAATGTTCCTTATTTTAGTATATTCGAGAAGAATTTTAAAATTACTAAATTGAACATCTTTAGACACTCCTCGAATGTATTATGCATATTGTTGTGAAAACTCAATCACACACACACACATATATTGTGTATTGTAGAATACAGTCAGTATGTAAAAAATACAATTGTACAGGATTAATATTGTTCATAAAGTATGTTTACACATATCATGATTTCACACATCACGAAATAATACACCTACAACAGACAAATTCATGGTGATCACCAATCAGAAATTTCTCTGTAACAAGCAGGTCTATATAACAGTGTGTAGATATAGACGAGAAGAAATTGTCAGTATTTTCGCTTCTCCGTCTAATATCCACACTGGAATGAATCTGATCATACTTCTCATCTGTCTAAATCATGTGAATTCTGGGATTATCAAAATTCAGTTGTATCCAGTGTCTAGAATCACTTCGATGTTAAATCCGTATCGGAAATTATTCACGGTATCAAGGCGAAGGTGGATGAATTCATGGAATGGTGAAGATGCACCAACATCAGAACACCTGTATAATTATAACAATGTTAGTTGACTTTCAGTTATGAAATTATTGTTTGTTAATTTGAGTGTATCTTTAATCTGTAATACTAAATGCACATCTTTCTAATGAAATATTTCGTTAACTGAGAAATTACAGTACTTAAGTAGGAAGACTGAATGATATTGTATGGTCAAGAAGAGAAGTAATGGAAAAGATCTCCTCTGACTATTTTACCAGTAGATGTTCAGTTGAGAAGTTTGTTTGCATGCTACTGTTTGCAATTGTTTTAGAACTACCCGTTAATATCACTAATGTACAACAGTTCATAATGATATTGAAGTCATTGAAGATTTTCATATCTAATGTTGATTATGTCTTTTTAAGATTGAATACTATGGAGAAGTGCTTGTGGGCACGCCACCACAAAAATTTCGTGTACTGTTTGACACAGGATCAACTGATACCTGGCTCGCGTCAAGAAAATGTTGGTTACTTGATATTCCATGTTGGTTCATTCGATTTTACGACAGTTCGAAATCATCTACCTACCAGCCAAACGGTACCAGGTTCAATGTTGATTATCTTACTGGAATTTATTCTGGGTTTTGGAGCATGGATACAATGCAGGTATTGTGTTCTTATGATTTGAAATGACAGTGACTTCAGATAAACTCCTTAGTTATTCACAACCAGGCATTTGCCGAAATAACGAATGTGTTTTCCGATGATTTCCTTGATAGTAAATATGATGGAGTAATTGGTATGTCAAATGCAGTCGTGTCAAGATACGGCAATATCCCCTTCTTCCCAAATATGATCACTCAAGCAGTGGAAATGGACCCAGTGTTTTCGTTCTATTTGAATCGGTAGGTTCTTACTGACAGCATAATAATACTATTATTACCACAATTTACTGTTAGCTCGAAGATATCAATAGTTTAATACTATTCGTTTCTGCTTAATATTATCACCAATGTGATTCCTTAAGTAGTTGTTCGGAATACAGATTTACCAAGAATAAAAAGGACTTAAGTGGCTTCAGATGAATGAATACCTAACATAAATCTCTCTCCTATAATAAAAGTGAAGTCTATTACATAATAATTAGTTTAAGGCCATAGTAGAGTCAGAGTATGGACAAACACTTCCTGCACCCAGATTTTGCACTTAAGTTAGAGTAAGTCACTGTAAATCCAAAATATCAAAAACTAACATCTCTGTGAGGCTGAAAGTGCACTTTTATTCAAATACTTACCTAGTGACTGGTTTTCATTGTTCGCTGCATGATAATGATAAATGATGTTCTGAGTTGCACTTTGCAAACTTTTCTCTTACATCACTTTCATTTACAAAGTCAGTATCGTGGAAATATTGGGTGTAAGAGACAAATACTTGATTCTGTAACTGAATTTAAATCTGCACGTCACGTTTATTATGATTAACGTTCAATTTTTATTGAAGGAATATCAAGCTGAGCTGATCTCTACTTGTAGAGAATTCACAATAATTTTGTGTTGTATTTTGTAGAAAAAATGGTGTCGTTGGTGGAGAGATGGTTCTGGGCGGTGTTGATCCTGAATATTTTACCGGAGATTTCGAACGCTTGCCTGTCGTTTCTGATAATAGTTGGGCCATTGATATCAAAAGGTAGTCAGTCAATGATTGGATGAAATTATAAGCAAACCAGTTACTACTTTCACGTGGACATGTTTGTATATCATCAAACATGTTCAATGCTTATCATATTCACGCCTACTTCTCCGGGAATATTCAGTATACGTAACGATTGTTATATTTTACAGTCAATAAAATTCATATTTTTTAATGTTTGTTAGACGAGGCGAGATTTGAAAATTTCATATAACTAGTAATACAGCTATTCTACATGAGTATTATCGGATATTTGGCTTGTATTTAATGTATTTTGTTTCAGACAAATAAAGCAGCCATTCGACCCCTATCGTTTCAACGAACAAAACTCAGTTTCCTTTCTAACTGATCCCATCACATAGGCTGAGTATCTGTTTTAACAGGTCGATATATACATAGACGCTGACATAAATATTTAGTAGCTGTCTTCCATTGTGTTTTCGAAAATAGTGACGTTTATTTGACTTTTATCTGTTGACTGACCGAAATAATTCGTCAGTGAAGTGCTGATAGTGTGAAGACAAGGTGTCTTATGTAACATCAGATCGAGGATTTCATGGCTTGCACACTTTCAGCATGCTGCATGTATAACTTGTTGTTTCATCCAACTGACATAGGACGATGATAGGAAGTGGCTGAAATTAGTGATCATCTTGCAATCCGATGACTGTAAAATTTCATTGTTTTCTTACTTTGGCCCGGGGGTGATAGCCATGGACCTGGTCAAATCGCCTACTAATCAGAACATTCTATTTTCTATATGATGTGCTTTTCCTTAAGAAAAGTTTATACCCTAACAATCAAAAGCCATTCTTTGTCTTTTGATATTTACGTGGCTGAGTGAAGCGGAAGGTACCAGGGACGAATAGGTGTATTTAGCACATCAGTGTTATTATACCCATGTTCAAGTCAACCCGGTCATTTCACCTGTTAATGGTATCACATTAAACAGCGACAGGTTCACAGCAGACAAGAATGATTTAATGAGGGCTAGTACTACCTGGAGTTGTGAGAAGTTTCGATGAGGGCTAAAAGTAAGCCAACAGACTGAAATTTATCTCTGTGTGTGCAGATGATTGAGGAGAAGCAAGTAATCTCATTGGCCATGATTACTGGGGCAAGTGGTTTTCTGAATAAGCTAATTTAAGTCAATACGTTCTTCACTGCATTGGCTGGCCAATGTGTCATTTACTTTCTCACCATGCTTAGTTTGAAGATTAACGGAGTAGAATATTGCCGTGGAACATGTACTGGTGTTATAAGTACTGCAGCATCTTTGATACTGGGTTCAGTTAACATGGTGGATGAGATCAACTCTCAACTTGGCGCCAGATTGGGTGGTGATGGGGAGTATGTATTGAACTGCAATGATATTGACATACTCCCTGCTATTGAGTTTGTCTTCAAGGAGCGCAGCTATATACTTGATGCAAAGGATTATGTGCTTAAGGTAAGTATGAGCATTTGGTTAAATATTATGACTTTCTTGTGATCAACACATCGATGAAAATTAATTCATCAGTGTCTTTAGTTCTCATTTAGAAAAAGGAAGCACATTTTGAAATCAATGTGAACATAGTGGTTTTGTTGTAGTCATTTTGTAAGATGATGGATTTTGACGATTACTCAAGATACGCTATATGCAAATGCATGAGTTCATCCTCTAACTTGCATGAAACTATATACTACTGATTGACTGAGATGAGTAGTTGTATACCACTCATACTAACCAGCAGTGCTTGTTAGGCATATCGAGGTGACCTAAACATCTAAACTGCAAATTAATAACCGATTGGCAAATTATGAATTCGATTTATCCTCTAGCTCCTAAAGCACTCGTTCTGCTTACAGCCAAGACAAATTAAGAAAAACAAATTAATATTTCAGAATACGAGATATATTTTAGGATAAGAAGTGTAGAAAGATGACAATTACTTAAGTAGCTAGAGCTGGTGCGAGAGCGACTGACTGTAACACGACAGCATGCAGAATCCATCTAGTAGTTGGAGTGTGCCACGTCCTTTAAATTATACCTTTTATTGGACCACGAGCATCAACTTGTTATGCGGATTTCAGATGATCATCGTTTTCCACCACTATATAATTGTCTACTTATCTGTAAAATATGTAGTGAATTACATTTCTAATCAACATATTCGTATCAACTTCAGAAATATGCATGCTGTTTGTATTCTAAGCAACAAGGTTTAACTGGGGTAGTAGGATTATGTGACATCTACTAAGATTGTTCCCATTTTTCTTTTCAAGGTTTTGAATCAAGAAAAATGTTGAAAATTTGTTTTATTTTTGCGATTTCAGCAGGTCAACTGGCTATCTACAGACTGTACATCACCTTTTGATGGGAATAACGGAATAGCCCCTGGATATTGGATTCTTGGCGATGTGTTCATGAGGAAGTTTTACACTGTATTCAACTTCGGTGAGCAGGAGATATGGTTGGCTGATGTTAATAATGATTAAACCTCATTGTACCAAAAGCTGAGAATCATTAAGAATAAACAGTTCTTACGATACAATTTACAAATTTCTTGCTTCAAAAAATGGTCTTCCTTCAAGGTCTATGAGAAATTAGATAAATGTCGTAAATATAGTCGTAAGTTCAGGGTAGCATATGGGGGTTTATAATGACTATGAGAAAAGAAATTTCGCTTGACATAAAAGTGAATTCATGACTGATTTGAGCACGAATTAATCTGGAATGATGAGAAAATTAACTGAGGAACTCGATGGTTAAAATCGAGGCATAATAATTGATATTTTCGGCATCAGTTCGTTTTGAACTAGAAAATGATTTCCCCTGAAAACCTGCTAAATCCATTCTTATGTATCACTCATCCAAGTATGTAAGGCTGTTTTACCATATCAGAAGTTACTAATAACGCCGTATTAGTATGTGTTGTTTTTGTATGCTGCACAGATGGTGTGGAAGACTGTCCGTATGCATAAACCTTGAAACAAAAATAACAATATATGAAGCATCCGTGAAGGGACTAGCAATTTATTTTCAGTGACATTCCTCAAAACACTTCGATACAGCTCATATGTTGTCCTATTATATTCTTCAAAACATTCGGTGAATACCTTAAGGAAGTTTGGCAGCCTAAATTTATTCTTCTTTGTCTACCCAGCCAATCATCTCTTTCCTTCATTTTGTGGTGCACCGAACTGCTGAATCTCTCATGGAACTAGCTTCGTTATCAAAGTCTGGAATACCAACATGATTCCATGGATATTCAGAACAAAGACAGTTACGGTCAGCGTCCCATAATATTTCTTAGGAGATGCGGCATTTGTTCAGCTAGTCGCACATACGTCCATGTTACTAGTATTGCTTAGAAGTCAACAAGTCCAGTCTCAGAAAAACTTGAAATTGTAGAAAAATGGGTCTGAGACCACTTTGTATAGTTTCCTCAGTTCGCCACTACAAAGGAGCTTAATATGCCTTATAAATACCTTATTCAACTTTTTTGTATACTTCAACTGAAGAGTGCTTATACATGAATCAATGAAGAAGCCACCAGCAGATTTTTTTCTCAGAATATCTACGTATCTATCTAAATCATGTGTATTTTGTGCAAGAATTGAAAGAGCAGTATACTAATATCTCCAATATTAGACATGATGATTGAGCCATAAATATAAGTCACAAGTTGGTTGACAAATACATTTAGATCAATGCATCATGAAGTTGTTAGGTTCCGGCTAAAAGTGAGGCTTGAATTCGTAGAGTAACACTCAGGAGAACACACAAGCAGAGAAATAGGGGTTTCCATTTATCATACTTTCCTAATCATTATATTTGAGGCTGTAAGTCACTATTATGTATGCAGGTTTATCACCTCAAATCCTACGTGAAGTAACGTATATGTATATTCGTTTAACAATGAACTTTCTAGTCTCAAATAAGGTGTGGTTATTCAATGTCTTCTGATTTCATATAGCACATTTTTAGAATGAATCACTGAAAAGCACAACCAATTATGTGTCTTTCTTCCACAAATACAGAAATGACAGTTATTCTGCACACTAATAACGCTTATGATAGTCTCTTTCTAGAAACATTTGAGGCGCCTCACCTGCAAATGAAGTTCCCGAGTTTATGAATGAAAAATTATTATTTACCACGTGTGTGTGAAATTATTACTTTTGTTGTTCCCTTGGGTTCCCAATAGAATATAAGGCTTGAACAGAACATCTGCACTTCATCCTATTCTCTGCGGTCCTCTATCGCTGGCCCCAAGATTGCCCATTGTCTCTCACCTCATCAATATCACCTTCGAATGAGCAACTTATCGTTTTCAAGTATTGGTTTGGTAGGGATTTTGTTTAATTACACGGAGGATTTCATCATGAGCTGACATCAGTTAGAGAACCACTGGAAAACCTGGGAGTAATGGACAGCTGTTTCGTCATAGTTTGGGACTCTTCATCAGTACGCGCCCACCGAGATTCGAACCCAGGACCTTCTGCCTACAAGGCGAGCTCGTAGACCATTGAGCCACTGGGACCCGATCCAGTACTCCCAGGTTTTCCAGTGGTTCTCTAACTGATGTCATCTCATGATGAAATCCTCCATGCAATTAAACTTATCGTTTCTCATTTGCGTCCCACTCGAGGGCTTAAATTGGTCTAAAGTGAACACTTACTCTTCTTATATTTTGTGAAGACTTAATCAACTACAGTGTTTACTTAGTAACAACCTGGAGTCGACTACTATACGGAAGTGCTATTTTATCCAGTCGTCTGGAAACTGTGCGTAAACACGAGTGAGAAACTTACACAGATACAAAAGATATTAGCAGCAAAGACAACGTTTTCGTAATTTCTCATTAAAGCTGTGTAGTTAAGATTTATTAAAGGTTAAGGGAAATGCTTTTAAGTTCATAAACTTCAATAATTAGAAATTGTCTACGTGTGTTCATGGGTACTTTGTTATTGTTGTCCACGATCCCACATAAATAGACAAACGAGGAGAACACAAACCCCCCAATACCTAGAAGGATACTTTTCATATTCATTTATGCAGTGTGACCTTCATCTTATTTTGACGACCTGTTTTCAGCAGTTTAGTGAGTGATCCTGATTCATTTCCTTTGCTAAACTCCATAGTTTTATTCAAATCTCTGTGCAGTAACCATTCGTAGACGCTATTCGTCAATTAACATTTTGGTTTATTTTAGATTAAACAACAAAGTGTTACAATTTGCTAATTTCTGTTCTCATTTGCAGTTCAATCTATTTTGTGGGTGCTCAGCATTATAGCATGATATCCATTGACCTTTTCTTCAGTCCTCGAGAAACACTGTGAAATGATTAACTACTATGGTAAAGCTTGTCTGATCATGCTTACTGTTATTGCGGCCTTATTTAATTATTAATTTGCTTAATCTAATCAACAGGCGATTTCTCTACCTCCAAGTTGATTGAAGCGACAGATGGTTTGATGAACAAATGGTTCAAAATATTTTGCGAAAACATCACATAGTGCAATATGGATTTTGACTTCTAGGGACGCTATTTTAATCGGTTAGATGGAATAATGTTTTGTGTTATCTATTAATGTGTGCCACTTGTTATATATACGATACTACACAAACTGAATTCAAAAAAGTAAAAGATCGAATATAGTTACAATGAATTATTCAACTATTCAAGGCAAAGTTCAAAACACTTTAGACTTTCAAATGAATCATTTTTTGACTAATTTATAACTCGAAGTTCATTTACAGTGTGATTTATTTCACAACAAGTATAAAGTCAAGTCAAGTGGACCTTTGCTTCAAAACAAAATTAATCATGAAATCATGGGTAAGATTAGTCAAAGGATACTGTTAGACAACTAAGCCAAGTTCTAATTTTTATTGTTCATGCCCTCACCCGAAGAAGTCAATCCTCCTTTGTCCTATGCCGTAACACTGAAGTGGCCTCACAACTTCCCACTACCATTCATTTCCACCAGTCATCTGACCTTCATTATCGAGCAATCGGAGGCATCCAATTGTGAGAGTCAGTAGCAGGCTGTTAGAACTGCATTCAGGGAGACAGGCTTTAAGTTTCCAGACCGTTGAGAAGCACTGGCTGCATTATCACTGGTGTGAAAACTCAGATATTTTTCTTTGTGTGGAGTTATGCAAATCTGCACAGACCTTTCAGACTAACGGATGCCTGCTTCAATCCAGGTTGACATCGAAATGGTGAAATGTTCCCTCGCCTTCAATTGAAACTATTCTGCTCAGATTGGATGAGTGAGAAAGACGACTTCCTTAAGATTTCTCTGAATGGTGATGATGACTGAGGTTTAGTTCTCTTTCGATTACCTCCATCGGATTTGTCCTCTCTGTGTTCACCTGAAGTCCTGTCTTTGCTGACACTTCTCACAAGTGACTGCTGTGCTGTAACATAATTCCTCTTTAGATAAGTTTATCTGATACAACAAACAGTAAGAGAGTGGTAATTGCTGCATAACTTTTTGAGCAGGATTTCTTGCTCATAATCGTATCAGTGTATACGCACAACATCCTAACCTGCCCAATATATCCTTACTGACTGCAATATTTCATTTTTTTCCGATATACAACATGCACCATTTGGGTCTCACGCGTTTTTTTGCGTTTTGATCAACAAATATTCGTCAATGAACCTGTCTTCTCACACCAATCTTTGTTCATTGAATCAACACCAAACACGCACCCGAAATTATGTATAGTTTTTACGACATATGGGGAATATTGCAGGGAGAAACAGGCGGGAGTAAGGCTATATAATGCAATTTAAGAAGTTGTATGAACACCCTAATATGATTATGAGCAAGAGGTTGTACTCAGTAAGTCATCCAGTTATCACTACTCTGTCAATGTGTTTTATCAGTTAAACTCATCTAATATCAAACAAATTATGTCTGTGTTATAGAGTAAGTAGGCTGTTCAAGAATTTTCATTCAGAGGAAGCATGTGCTTATATTTTGAACGTAACATATTACAGTATGCAGTTAGAGAAATTATTATCAATATAAAAGGATCAGTAGTGTGATAAGCGAAAAATTTGGATAGTATTTAAACATTCTGACACCTCTTGGGCTTTCTACTTAATATGAGGGCACTTTGTTTCCACTTTTTAGTCTACATTAAAGAATCACTCGTTTTCTGATAAGATGAAAAACAGTTGTGGTGCACCTAAAAAAGTGATGCCAAATAAGTATTTATTCAATGTTATATGGAATGGTTAAGCGGACTGTATGATGTATTACAAGATTAACACGGTCATCATCTTGTGGCACAATTAAAGTGTGAGTGCGAAGATCTACGCCACTAACCGCTCGACACAGCTTACAGGTAACATCAAGGTATTCATGAAACATAACCACATATTCATTGATAAAAAGAGAATCAAAGTTTTCTTCAGCGAAGAAATATTTCTTGTCATCAACTTCATTTCCAAGTGGTAAGAGAGTATCTATATTATGGAAAATAACATCACGTGGCGATAAAAACTGCCCGGTCAATATATACATATAT